CCAGGACGCCCGCCACACATAAATGTCAGGGTGGCCTGGGGTGTAGCAGGAGATGATGATGATGGTGCTGATGATGACGATGACGATGCTGATGCTGATGATGATGCTGCTGATGAGGATGAGGATGACGATGTCGTTAATGATGCTGGTAATGCTAGTGATAATGATGCCGATGATGATAATGATGATGCTGATGATTATGCTGATTGTGATGATGATGATGATGACGACGCTGATGCTGCAAGCGCTGATGATGACGATGATGATGATGTTGTATAATGGTACCGATGATGGTGACGGTGATGTTGACGCTGATGACGATCATGATGACGTTGCAGATGGCGATGGTGATGATGATGATGATGATGATGATGATGCTGATACTAGTGATGAGTCTGATGCTTATGGTTCTGCTGCTGATGCTGCTGCTGACGATGATGATCATGCTGTTGATGAAGATGGTGACGATGCTGATGATGCTGCTGCTGATGATGCGGATGATGGTGATGCTGATGGTGATGATGATTCTGAGGATGATGATGATGATGATGATGATGATGATGATGATGATGATGATGATGATGATGATGATGATGGTGATGCTGATTCTGATGATGCTGATGCTGATGCTGATGATTCTGATTGTGATGGTGGTGGTGGTATTGCTGCTGCTGATGATGTTGTGATGATGATGATGATGATGATGATGATGATGATGATGATGATGATGATGATGATGATGATGATGATGGCGAGGAAGGGAAGAGGAGGAGGAGGAGGAGGATTGGGAATGGTGGTGTTTGTGGTAGTGGTGGTGGTGATGATGTTGATGCTGCTGCCGCCGCCGCCGACGATGATGATGATACCGATGGTGGTGATGATGATAATGATGCTGATGATACTGATCATGATGATGTTGCTGTTCATGTTACTGTTGTTGTTGTTGTTGTTGTTGTTGTTGTTGTTGTTGTGGTTGTTCTTGTCGGTGGTAATGATGATGGTGATGATGGTAATGATGATGGTGCTGCTGATGATGGTGGTTGGGATGTTCCTGCTGATGGTGATGTATGATGATGGGGAGGTTGAGGAGGAGGAGGACGAGGACGAGGAGGAGGAGGACGAGGATGTGGAGAAGTTTTCTCCGGAGCGATCAACTGATCTGTGTTGCCGCCTCGTGTCGCTACAGGGCTCCTCTCGTGCTTCTACTGTCTGCGGCGCTCTCCTAGGCAGAGTTAAATGCCTTCTCGCACGCAGATTTCCAAATAGACAACCCCTGTTGCAATTTGTGTAGTAGGAGGAGGAAGAGGAGGAGGAGGAGGAGGAGGAGGAGGAGGAGGAGGAGGAGGAGGAGGATGAGGAGGCTGAGGGCTGAAGGCTAAATGCACGAAAGCCCGATCTGATGCCAGGCTGCGCCGCACAGGGCAGGCCCCGCTCCGCGGGGCCAGAGGGACAACCCTGTGGTCAATTTGGCCCAGCCATGGGCCAGCGCGCCAACCAGTGGCGCCAGCGCGCCAACCAGTGGCACCACGGTTCTACCCGCCCGTCCGGAGGAGGAGGAGGAGGAGGAGGACGAGGAGGAGGAAGAGGAGGAGGAGGACGAGGAGGAGGAGGAAGCAGAGGAGGAGAAAGAGGAGAAAGGCATACCGACTGAGCCGAGCGCAGAGCCCTGGCTCGTCAAGCCGAATCCACCCGTGGCGGCGCCGCAGCACCCCGCTGACGCAAAACACCGGCCCGACAGAGCGCGCCTCGCGCCGGCCGCCCGCCTCCGCGAGGCCATGAGCCTCGCAGCCTCGTCATGCGTCTGGGGATGGTGGAATTTTACCAGGACCGGGCCCGGGGACCGGGGACCGGGGACCGGGGACCGGGGACCGGGGACCGGGGACCGGCGGACCGGAGACCGGGGACCGGGGACCGGGGACCGGGGACCGGGGACCGGGGACCGGGGACCGGGGACCGGGGACCGGGGACCGGGGACCGGGGACCGGGGACCGGGGACCGGGGACCGGGGACCGGGGACCGGGGACCGGGGACCGGGGACCGGGGACCGGAGGACCGGGGACCGGGGACCGGGGACCGGGGACCGGGGACCGGACAGGGGACCGGGGGCCCGAGACCGGGGACCGGGGACCGGGGGCCGGGGACCGGGGACCGGGCACCGGAGACCGGGGGACCCGACCGGGGACCGGGGACCGGCGGCCGGAGACCGGAGGACCGGGGACCGGGGACCGGGGACCGGGGACCAGGGACCGGGGACCGGGGCAGGAAGACGGATCAGACCGGACGACCAAGGACCAGGGACCATGGGACCGGGGGGATCGGGGACCGGGGACCGGGGCCCGAGCACGGAGGACGCGGAGGACGGAAGAGGACCGGGGACCGGGGACCGGGGACCGGGCACCAAGGACCAAAGACCGAGGGCCAGAGGCCGCGGAGACCGGAGGACCGGGGACCAGAGACCGGGGACCGAGGACCGGGGCCCGGGTACCGGAGCCCGGAGACCGAGGACGGAGGACGCGGAGGACGGAAGAGGACCGGGGACCGGGGCCCGGGGACCGGAGGGCGGAGGACCATGACCGAGGGCTGCGGACCGGGGCCCGGGGACCCGAGGGACCGGACCGGAGGGACATACCGAAAACGGAGCGCCGAAGACCGAGGACCAGACCAAGGACCGACGACAGAACACGGGACCGGGGACCGGGGACCGGACCGGGGGGGGGGAGCCCAGGGTCCCTGACGCCCGCGTAACTACACTGAGCAAACGAGAGAGGACAGCGGAGGAGGGGGAGCGCAGGAGAATACTGAGGTTTTCTCATCCCGTGGTGCATGAAAGCCCATCCAGCCAGACGCGCGCGACTCGTCGAAAACTTGAAGGATGGCAGCTGGGCATGAGACTCGCAGGAACTGGATAGACAGGGGGAATTCTAGGGGAGGCTCGGAAGACCTGCCCGCCAGCTCGCACTGCCACACGCTGCAGAAGCCATCTGCGCACCGCGGTGCTGTCCAGCGCGCGCGCGGCAATAACTGCAAAAAATCCCGCGCTGAAGCAGCCATCTGCGCCCCTTGCGCTGTCCGGCGCGCGCGAGCGAAAGCAATAATCTGGCGTCGCAATACATGCTGGAGACGGGGGGGGAGGAGGCTCGGAGGATATTGGGGTCAGCGTCCAGTGGCGTCTGAGACCTGCTGGCCCGCTCGCACTGCAACGCGCTGCAGCAGCCTTCTGCGCCCCTCGGCGCTGTCCAGCGCGCGCGCGCGCCAATCAGTGCAAAATCAGGCATCGTAGTGGGCGAAGGGGGAGAAAAGAACATCTTGCGGGCGAAAAACCCGCCAGCGACATCGCACGGTCACGCGCTGCGACAGCCATCTGCGCCCCTTGCGCTGTCCGGCGCGCGCGTGCCAGGCAGTGCAAGAGTCGGCGTCGCAGCAACTGGGTAGACAGGGAAGGGAAGAGGGAGGCTCGGAAAGAGTTTAGCGCCTGGCGGCGTCTGAGACCTGCCCGCCAGCTCGCGCCGCCACGCGCCAGCCCTGGCGCTCTCTCGCGCGCGCGCGTGCCAGTGAGTGTAAAATGTCCCGCGCTGCAACGGCCACCTGCGCCCCTTGCGCTGTCCGGCGCGCGCGCGCGCGCGAGCCAAAGCAAAACTCTGGCGTCGCAATGCATTTGGGAGACGGGGGGGAGGAGGCTCGGACGATATTGGGATCAGCGTCTGGTGAGGCTTGAGACCTGCCCGGCAGCTCGCATTGCACCGCGCTGCTGCAGCCTTCTGCGCTCCTAGGCGCTGTCCAGCGCGCTCGCGCCAGTCGGTGCAAAGTCAAGCGCAGGGAGAGGGAAGGACATCTTGCGGCGCAAGAGCCCGCCAGCGACATCACACGGCCACGCGCTGCAAAAGCCATCTGCGCCCCTTGCGCTGTCCGGCGCGCGCGTGCCAGCCAGTGCAAAAAAGTCGGCGCCGCAGTAACTGGGTAGACAGGGGGAAGGATGAAGGAGGCTCGGTGAGAGTTGAGAATCCGGTGGCGCTTGAGACCACGCGAGGCCACAGATGGGCTCGTGGGCGCCCCCATGAGCGCGGGCGGGCGGGGTCGATATTTCCCCGACCAAGTTGCCATCGCACTACGAATCCGCGCAAAGGAGCAGGAAGATGATGCGAGAAAGGTAGGGCGGAGGATCTCTCCCGCGGGCGGCGGGCCCTCCAGCCGAGGCAGAAATCTTCAACGGAGCGGAAGCAATAGCACGAATGGCGGAAGCACGAGCTACCATGCACCAGCATTTGGCTGGTAGTAGGTCCACCACCGCGCTTGCAGCGATTGGGGCGCGTGTGTGTGTGTGTGTGTGTGTGTGTGTGTGCGTGTGTCTGCGTGTGCGCGTGCGTGTATTGGCGTTGTCGCACGCAGCGTCGCTCGTTTTGAAAGATTCTTGGCGCGGCTCAAGGGGAAAGTGCGCGTGTGTTGGTGTGTGCGTGCGCGTGTGCGTGTGCGTATAGGTGGGTGTGTAAGTGCGCGCATGAGTGTGCGCGTGCGCGCGTGCGCGCGTAGCACTTCACGCTGCGGCACACAGCGTCTTACGCGTCGGAGGACCTCGCAGGCCGCTCGACGCCACACAGTGTGTGTATGTGTATGCCATGCGCGCGTGTGCGTGACCGCGCGTGCGTGGGCGCGTGCGTGCGCGCGGGTGCGTGCATGCGCGCGCGCGCATGCGCGCGCGTGCCCAAAGAAGGCCCATGATGTTCCAAAGAAGCCGAAAGGCCCCGAGAAAGCACCCGAGAAGCATCGAGGCGGCCCCCCCCCCCCCTTGGGCGCCCGCCCCGGCGCGCGACGGCGGAGACGCGCGGCAGCGCGAGCGGGTAACAGTAGCGCGCGCGAATCGGAAGCCGCGGCGCAGCACCCGCGACCCTACATCAGCACTTGGCTGGCACCGAGAGAAGCTGGAGCGAGGCGAAGGCGCGGCGCGGGCCATCCCTCCTGGTCCAAGTGGGCGCGCGAGCGCGCGCGGCCCGGCGGGTTGGCGGCTAGTACGGGCGAGAGCGCGCCCCCTGAGCCGACGATGCCGCGGCCCTCCTTCCCTGATTCTTCAGGAACTGCACCCGCGCCTCCGACACCTCGTGGAGCGTAACCCCCGCGCACTTCATGAACTGGGCGTGCATTTTGACCTGCCCCTCGACCTCCTCGGGAAAATCCCGAAATGCCACGACGTCGTTGACGAAAGTGCAGATCCTTGGGAAATCCGCGGCCAATGCGAGCATCAAAGAGCGGAGCTCGGCCGTCGGCACGCACCATCGGTTCTTGGTCTTCTTGACCGTGCCCCCGCGGCTGGCGGCGCCGCCGCGCGGCGCGGGCGGCGCGGGCGGGTCGGGCAAATGGACGCGCAGGCGCTCCGCTATCTGGGGCACGGTGAGAGAGTCGGCACCCAGCAGGAACAAGCGCTGCACGTAGTGCCTGTCGGTGATGATGGTCTTGCCGTCCTCGTCCGGGCGAATCAACATGGCACCGTTCTCTCCCATGCCCACCTTGAAGAACGCCTCCATGGGCTCCAGGTCCGCCAGGTCCATCCACTGGGGGACCGCAGGCGCCCCCTCGGCCCGGCCGGGGGGCGCCGCGCTCGCCGCGGCCGGCAGCGCAACCGCCGCGGCCTGGCCGGCGGCGGCGGGAGGCGCAAGCGAGCCGATGTCGGCCTGGTCCGAGGGCACGGCGGTCGGAGCGGCCTCCTCCGCCGCGGCGTGGCCAGCGGCGTCCCCCGGCGCCGCCGCTTCTGCCTCGGGCGATAGCTCCGCGGGCGCCTCCGCGGCACCGCCGCCAGCAGCCCCCGCGGCGTCCGCAATTTCCGCGGCCGCGGCCGGACTCCCCCCGACGCCGCCCTCGCCGCCTGCCTGCGACAAGTAAGCGGGCGCGAAACGGCGGCGGTCGTAATCCCCGCGAACGGGGCGTCGCACGGCACCCGCGGCGTCGCGCTGGTCGTCCGGCGGGCCGACCAGGTCAGCGGTCTGGCGCGCGAGCTTCTTGATCTGCAGACTGATCTGCACGATGCGCGTGCTCAAGTCCACATCGTCCGTGGTGATGGCGAACGTCGCTGGATCGGGGTCTGCGTCGGCGGCTGCCATGCGCAAGATGCGCAGAAGGCCTGCCCAGACCCCAATCTGGCCAGCCGCCGCCCCGTGCTGGGCCTCGCCAGGACCATCCTCCCCGCGGGACGCGCTGGCGAGGAGGCTCTGCTCGAGCTGCGCTCCGAGGAGGTGTTCGCGCGCCGTCGGCTCGAACGGGATCGTAAAGTGCGGCCTGGTCTTGAAGAAGCCGATGACGCGCCGGACCCCAGGAACCAGCGCCGTGTACGGCGATGGCAACATCCACCTCGCAGAAATCCGATACTGCGTCTGCAGAGTGCCAGCGTCGTACCGATACCGCAGGCGCACCTCCACGCCGTCCGGCAGGTTGATGCTGTACCCCTGCTCGGGCCCCACGAACGACGCGGCGAGCTGCGTCCCGGAGCCCGGGACCGCGGGGGGGGCCGCGCCCTCGGCCTCGTCCAGGGGCCCAGCCTCCAAGTCCCGCTCGGCTTCGTCGGGCTCCTGGTAGTAGTGGCTCCAGCCGAAGCTGTCCGCCAATCTTGCCGTCAATGGCAACCACGTCCAGCGGGGGTAAGCGACCCCGTTCTCATCTCGCGGCATCTCGAAGTCAGCGGGGAGGGGCTCGTGGCGCTTGGCGGCCGGGCCGGCGCAGTAAATGCTCCGCTCTTTCGTGGCCGCCACGTGGTTGCCGACGTGCCCTCTCTCCACGGCCATCAACATTTTCCAATGCCAATTGCCGATGATGGCCACGTTGACGGCAGGGGACCCAACGCTGCCATACGACCCACTGGTCCTCGTGTCACGCTGAAGCTTGCCCGTGCCAATGAGGGTGTTCAGCGTCGAAGCGTGTTGGGACGGCGCGGTGTCCCTGGCAGCCCCGCCGCGGGCGTCGGTGGCGGTGAGGCCGAGCTGGCCAAGGAAGCTGTAGGCCTCGTCCAGGTTCACCATCGTGCTGTACCAGGCGCGGGGCGCCCAACCTGAGAGTACATCAAGTTCCTTGACTTCCTGCGGGGCCGCTGACACATCGACACCCGCGACCAACGCAAGGCCCCGGGCGCGCCGGAAGCTCGCTCTGGCCGTGGGGGCCAACCCGTAAAACGCGCGGCTGAATCTCCGCTTCGGCCGAGTGGCCCAAGTAGAAAATCAGACAACGCAGCGAATCACTATCGGGCGCGAGGGGTCGGGAAGCTCTAGGGGGGCACCGGCGAGCACTGGGGTTCCTCGCCCATCCGACGTTCCAGCCACGGCAATCCTGGATCTGATCCCAGTCCCCCGAGCACCGGGCGAAGAGCTCCGTGGGGGTGAAATCCTGCATCCCGATCGTTTTCACCGTGAGCTTCGTCGGCTTCGCGTCCTCCCACGCGCGCTGGGGAACGCCCGCGGGCGGCGCCGCGGAATCGAGGCGCTCCTGCACCACCGCTGCAATCTCATCGTCGGCAGCAGCAATCATGGCCGCGACCGCCGCGGTGACGCGGCTCTTCCCCTGCTGCGCGTCGCCCCCGTACAGCACCATGGCGGAGAGCGGCGTCGGATCAGCGTTCCTGGGGGGGGGGGGGGCGCAGACGCGCGAGCAAGGGCGCAGGAGTGGAGGGCGAGTAGTGGCCATGCCAGGAGATGGGGGGGAAGATGAAATCCAGCCGGGAACGCGGGGTTGAAGACGCGGCCCGGGGGCCACGCGCCCGGCGGCGCCCGGGGCTTACTTGAGCCCCTCTGAGGACTCTTCACCGCGGGCACGCGTGCCAGTCTGAATACATGCGTGGATGCCCCTGTTGCGCCCGCATGGACCACGGGGCCAATTCTGGGTGGGGATGGAACCAAATCGAAACGATAATGATATTCATGATGTCAGGGACCTTGCGATGCGCACTTGCTTTCCCAGTATGACAAGGATCACTTAATGCTGCATTAGAAATGGCGGTGTGAATACGTTTAAGAATACTTGAAGCAGTAGCAGTAGCAGTCGCAGTATCAGTAGCCGTAGCCGTAGCACTAGCAGCATCAGTAGTAGTAGTAGTAGTAGTAGTAGTAGTAGTCCTAAAAGTCGTAGTAGTAATAGTAGTAGTAGTAGTAGTAGTAGTAGTAGTAGTAGTAGTAGTAGTAGTAGTGGTGTAGGAGTAGTAGTAGTAGTAGAAGTAGTAGTAGTAGTAGTAGTAGTAGTAGTAGTAGTAGTAGTAGTAGTAGTAGTAGTAGTAGTAGTAGTAGTAGTAGTAGTAGTAGTAGTAGTAGTAGCAGTAGTAGTAGTAGTAGTAGTAGTAGTGCTAGCAGTATTAGTGTCAGTACCATTAGTAGTAGTAGTGGTGAAAACAGTCGTCGTGGTAGTAGGAATCGTCGCCGTAATAATAATAGTAGTAGCGGTAGTAATAGTCGTAGTAGTAGAAGTAATCGCAGTAGTAGCACTTAGAGCCCTGCGAGTCCAGAGCTGGATGTTAGCGCCATTGTTGACGCCAGCCATCGCGGCCGCCGTGAGGGCGAGCACGGGCAGAGCGCCCTGGCCGGTGGCCACCTCGAGCGGGCGCGCCAACTTCTGCAGCTCCGCGGGCAAGTGCTCGCTCGCCGAGAAATGCACGTCAACGTAATCGTTCACGGCGTCTGCCATGGCCTGGATCTCTGCGGCCGAAATTTCGGGCGCCCGGCTAGCAGGGGCCATGCCCCGCAGGAAAGCGTCGAGGAAGCAGCGCCCTCGGCGCGCGGATCTTGAGGGCCGAAGCAGCTATGGGCGGCGATGACGATCGGTGCGACGGGCGCCGACGGCGCGGGCGGTCGCCGGCGGAGCCCCCGCGTCGCCGTCGATGATAGGGCGGCGCGCGCAGACGGCCCAGTCAGGGGTCAGGGGGCCGAAGGGCCGGGCGATCATCGCGACGATGGCGACGGCGACAGCCGCGATGGCGACTGTGACAAAGAATGCCAAGATGACGATTAGAACTAGAGCGGAGCGGCGCGCGGTGCCGGGTTGAGAGGGGGGGGTAGCGGGGAGCCATGGAACGAAATGGAAGCGAACGGATGGGGGGGGGTAGGCGAGCGCGGGGGGGCGCGGGGGCTGGGCGCACGAACGGGGAGGCATGCGCGACGGACGGTCGGCGAGACGATTGCAGCGGCGGCAGCAACGGCAATGGCGATGGCGACGACGGTTGCGACGACGACCCCGTCGAGGAGCTGTCTTGTCACTCGCTGGCAGCACGCGGGCAGTGCAAGGCAGAATATCCCAGGAAGGGCAGCGCGAACCTCGCGCGCTGCGAGCGGCCAACCGCAGCTATGCAGGCGCCCTTAAACGGGCCGCGCCGCCGGGGGCGGCCGCCGGGCGATGGCGCCGGGTCGCCGACAGAGCGCGTCCAGACGCGCGTTTACATCGCTGCCGCGGAAGCGCGGAAAGCCCTGATTCTGCTTGACGGGCTGCGCGCCCAGAGCCTCCTCCAGCGCGGGCCACGTCAAATTCAAGGGGCGGAGATCGAAGACAGCGCTCATGCGCAGGACGTCGAACGAGAGAGCTGGGGCGAGAAACGCGGTCAGCTCGTCTCGAAGGCGCGCCGGAACCGCGCGCACCAGGCGCTGCGCGTCATCGGCATTGCAGCCGCGCTCCGCACGCCCCGCGCAGACCGCGACTCCGGCGGCGGTATCCGTGCCGAAGATGACCCGGGCCCCAGGGCATGCGAATGCCATTGGGTTCGCAGGGCGCCCTTTGTAAAACGCCTGGCATTCAAAGAATTTGTCACCGTCAGCGGCGGCAGCCGCCCACACCGGCCTGAGTTTGCGACGCACTATGGGCGGGTGTGTCGCCTCGGGGGCCGCGCCCGCGGCCGCCGGCGCCGCGCCCGGGGCCGCGCCCGCGGCCGGCGCGCCCGCGGCGGGAATCCCCGCGGGCACCAGGCGGGGTGCAGGCGCGCGGTCTTGCCGGGCCGCTTTCCGGGCCGCCCTGGCAGCCCCGCGCGCTGCTTCCCGGGCGCGCAACTCATTGTGGACGTCCACGCATTAGCCCACGATGAAATCACACACCCAGCGCCTCATGTGGTGGACGGTGTGGGCCAAGGGCGAGAGCTGCGCGTTGACAGACTCGCATATCGGCGTTGGGAAGTCACCCAGGGCGGCAGCATTCGCGGGCACGTCTGGGAAGCACTCCGCCCTGCACGTGGCGTCGACGTGCCCTTTGCTGTGCGGCCGGTCGACGATGTACCGGAAGTGCCCAAGACGAGCGGCCAAGCTGCCGGGCGGCGCGCCCTCCGCCCTGCCCTTGGCGAACAAGCGCACATGGCACGCGTCGTCGTGCACGAGCGTCTTGAGCTCTGGAACAGCAGTGGCCACGTCGGCCAAAAAGCAGTAGCGCTGGGACAGCGTCTCAGCAGTGATCACCTCTTCAAGAGCACCGACCACGCCACTCTCTGAGACTGCGGCTAGGAACCCTGCCGACCGACTTGCCGTGCGGATGGCCGAGACGGACTCCTTGTGCGTCTTGCAGGAGCACTTGGCCTTGGCGTGCCCAGAAGCCCAGTCGCCCAGGACCAGGCGCGGTTGCCGCCGGAGAAAGTCCCTGCGCCCTTGACGCTGGCGCTTGCGCTCTTGGATGACCTGCTCGGCGTTCCGGGCGAAATACGCCTGCGCGGTCGAATCGGGGACGGTGCAAGCTGGTTGCCAGTTTCCGAAGCCGGCCAGGCGCACTTCGACGTCAAGAAATGCACCAGTGGACAGGGGCGCCCTCACGCGGTGTGCTTCAATGTCGCCGGCGAGGGCAGGGCGGTCGGCGAGCTCCTGGTGGCGGCGGCAGAGCACCCCCTTCTGCAGAGGCGACTCAGGGCAACCACGCACCAAGTGCAAGTCTAGGGCTTCGTGGTACACGGCCTCGGCGCACGGCGCGCCGCACGAACGCCGGTGCAGCTTCGCGTTGCCGTCAACGCAGACGATGTCCAGCCTATCTCCACTGGCCCGCCACGCGCAGAGTCGGCGCTCCTTCATGAGAGGGCGGTACCAGGAAGCGCAGCTCTGCAGAAGGTCCTCCAAGGGCAACTCCAACACAGAAGCCGCCAGGGCAACGCGCGCGCCCTCGCACGCTGAAGATCGCTGCCACAACTGGTACCGCACCCAAGCGGACTCCAAGGATTGCTCCAACGTCTCCGTGGCGACTTCGGGTTCCAACGCCCGCAGGATCTGGGCTTCTCCAAGGAAGGACGCCCTGTGCGTGTACAGGCGGTAGGCCCACCGCTGCGCCCACTGAGCATGCACGCCGAAGGACTTGTTCACCATGAAGATCTCTGACACTGGACAACCAACATCAAGCTTCTTCACGAAGCCGCCTTGTCCGTGCCCAGCAGGGGACTCAATGTGCCCGCGCCAGTACTTGTGCACGCGCCCTTCGTCGCAACCGTTCTCGCAATGCTTGGCGCCGTGTCGCATTGCGAAGCGCCGCGGCTCCGCCACGACCAAGCATTTCACTGGGCGCCTTTGTGGTAGTGGAACCAAAGGCCCCAAACAGAGAGGGCAACATGTCCGGGTCGTCGTGAGCTCTGGCAAGAGCGCCGCCCCAGCGCCTGCAGTACCCGAGTCCCCGCTCGATGCGGCTGGCGCGGCAGGGCCGCGCGCGGCGTCGTCAGAGCTGGCGTTTGCCCCCGCAGCCCGCGGGCCCAGTCCTGGGCGCGCAGCAGCAAAGCAGTGCCGCGAAGGCGCAACCGCAGCGCCACTGGCGCCCGACACCACGCAGGATGCGGCCGCCGCGGCGGAGCCACGCGCGGCGTCGTCTGAGCTGACGGGCGCCCGCAGAGCCGGCGGACCCAGCCCTGAGCGCGAGGCCGCGGGGCCCGCCCTCCAAAGCGGCCGCACCGGCGGCGGAGGAGCACTCGCGGCTGGCTGGCGGTGCGCCCGCGGGCCCACTGGTCGCCACAACGGTCGCACTGTCTCCCCGGCGGCGTCCGCGGCGCAGCGGCCACTTTGCTCGCGACCACCTATTGGCCCAGGCCGCGCTGCAAGAGGTTGCTGCGCCATGGGGCGAAGCGGTGGAGAAGCGGAAACCGAAGGCTGGCGCGAAGACCATAACGGCCGCACGGGCAGCATGCACGACAGCGAAGTGAGCCCCCGCCAGACGCTAGCGAAAGCTCGAGCCCAAATGCTTGCGCAGACAACAGTTGAAGAAAAAGAGACGGAGCAAGGTGGCGAAGGGGACGGGTCCACGGAGGGCGGGGCCCGTTCCCTGCTTTTCGTGCCCACATCCTCCTCTTCCCTCTACACGTCCTCAACATGAACACTACTCTCGTTGGCTGCCTGCTTGGCTGCCTGTTGGCTGCCTCTTCGGTTGCCTGGTTGGCTGCCTCGTCGGCTGCCTCGTTGGCTGCCTGGTCGGCTGCCTCGTCGGCTGCCCCGTTGGTTTCCGGGTGGGGTGCCTCGTTGGCTGCCTCGTCGGCTGTCTCGTTGGCTGCCTTGCGGGCTACCTCGTTGGCTGCCTCGCTGGCTGAGGGGTGGGGGTCGGGACCTCTGGGTGTGGACACGGCTAATGGTGCAACGCAAGGTCGACTCCGAGCGTGCCGCGGTATGCAGGGCGGGAGTTGAACGCCTGAGACCCCCTTAGACCCCTTCGTCAATGTTGACACGGCCAATGGACAGTGCTCTGGTGCCCTCCCGCCGTCAGACTGAGCACTGCAAGGAATGGACGCCGTGGAGCCCTCCAGCAGAGACCCCTTCAACCCTCCTCTTCAATGTTGCTGAGATGCACCGTCCTTCGAGGGGGTGCTCAACGCCAATATGAAAGAGGGGGGTCCGGGGGTGAGGGCCACGCACACCCACCCGAGACCACGCGGCCCCCTGGGTGGCTGCGAACGGCGCACCTGTCGCCACTTTCGTGGGGTCCTCGGAGGTCCAGCGGGGTGGAAGGCCAAGCACACCTTGCCGAGACCTCGCGGCTCCCTGGGCGGCTGCGCCGCCGCCGCCGCCCCCGTTGCCGCCGCCGCCGCCGCCGCCGCCGCCGCCGCCGCCGCCGCCGCCGCCGCCGCCGCCGTCGTCGTCGTCGTCGTCGTCGTCGTCGTCGTCGTCGTCGTCGTCGTCGTCGTCGTCGTCGTCGTCGTCGTCGTCGTCGTCGTCGTGTCGGTCGTCGTTCGTCCGTCGTTCGTCGTTCGTCGGTCGTTCGTCGTTCGTCGTTCGTCGCTCGTTGGTCGTCGTCGTCGTCGTCGTCGTCGTCGTCGTCGTCCGCTGCCGTCCATTCGTCGTTGCGTCGTCGAGTCGTCGTCGTCGGTCGCCGTCGCCCCACCCCCATCACCCGCTCCCAGGCGTCGCCGGGCATGTCGTCGAAAAAGGGAGGAAGAGAGAGAGAGAGAGAGAGAGAGAGAGAGAGAGAAAGAGAGAGAGAGAGAGGGAAAGAGAGAGAGGGAGAGAGAGAGAGAGAGAGAGAGAAAAAAAAAGCTTGCGGCTGGAAATCACATGCCGCATGATGTGCGGCAGGGTGCACACACGAACGTGCCGCGCACGCGATGTGTGGTGATGGTGATGATGACGATCGATTGGTACATGTGGTTCGATTTTAGTTTCCACGTAAGATAGGTACGGCACGGCCCCGGTCGGCATGGCCTCGGCTGCCTTTTGCAGCGAAAGGCGGTTCCGGGTTCCACGCTTCCTCCTCCTCCTCCTCCTCCTCCTACTACTACTACTCCTACTCCTATTCATCCTCCTCCTCCTCCTCCCCGTCTTCCCTCTCCCACCTCCTCCTAAGATCATGGCGACGCGAGAAATCGCAACCGCCGGTTTTTCAACTTGGTCGGCCTCTGGAAGCCGTTCCCTGGCCCCGGGGCCGCCGAGATACGGCTCAGGACGCAAAGCCGGCCCCATGGAGGGACAGCCAAGGAGAGACCGGGCTAGAAGGTTCTTTTGCGCACCGAGCCGGCAGCAGCCTGGGAAAATAGTTTACTGGATACTGGACGCGAGACAAACCGCGGCGGTCACTGCTCTGTCCTTAGAGAGCCACATCCCTATTATATAAATGCTGGAATGCTGGAGAAGGAGGGCGGGAGAGAGGGAGGGAGGGAGGAAGGGGGGGAGGGAGAAAGGGAGGGAGGGAAGGAGGGAAGGAGGAGAGAACAGGGCCCGAGATAAAAAATTGGTCCTGCCCGCACCAGGGCGGTGCGAAAACCGGATCCAAGAGGGCCTCGCCCCCCCCGCCTCTCCGATGGCCCCCCGTGAGGCCATCGCTTACGGGGTGGGTGTCACGTTGCGCGCTGTCCAGACCCACTCGTCGTCCTCGCCCGCAAACTTGGCCTTCTGCTTGCGGAGCTCGCGCGTGAAGCAGACCACCGCCCTCCTCTCGGCATCGCGCTGCTGTTTAATGTACTGATCCAGCGCCGCCTTCTCCCGCATCTCCACGAGGCCGGTCAGAGTGACCCACTCGAGATTGCCCTGGCGGAACCCCTGCGCGAAGCCGCCGGCGGTGGCAGAGGACTGCGGCGAGTACCGCAGGAGGACCTGGCGGGCGGGCGGAGAACACGCAATGCGAAGCCCAGGGCAGCGCCCGCACGAAGTGGCCTACAGTTGGCTCCGGGCATTCAGAATGTGGCCCGGGAGTTGAGTTCTGGGAACTCGAAGAGCACGAAGTGGCCTGCAGTTGGCTCCGGGCATTCAAAATGTGGCCCGGGAATGGAGTTCTGGGAACTAGAAGAGCACGAAGTGGCCTACAGTTGGCCCCGGGCATTCAAAATGTGGCCCGGGAATGGAGTTGTGGGAACTCGAAGAGCACGAAGTGGCCTAGAGTTAGTAGCTCCGGGCATTCAAAATGTGGCCCGGGAGCGGAATTCTGGGACCTCGAAGACCACAAAGTGTGTAACTGTATGTTTGAAAGGAGCTCTCGCGGCACCCGTCCGGGTCCTGCCCAGACCCCCCTGGGGAGTCATGGTGATCTCTTTTGACCCCATTAGAAACCAACCAGTCTTCGCTGTTAGGTAAAAGCGCGGACGGCGAAACGTGCACGTGACCCGAAATCGAACGCGCGGCGCTAACATCGGCAACATCGGTTTGCGAGCTTCCGAAAATACATGAACTAAGCTTCATGGAAGCAGCAAGTTGCGTGCCTGGATTGGGGGAAACATGATGAGCTACCTTGGGAGCCCCGCAGAAGCTCTCACAATTCAATTCCAGCGCCCTAGGATCCAAAAGGCATGGCGCGCTCGTTTTCACGGCCCTTCCGAGGATGGTGAAACGCCGCAATGCATTCACGACTACACGTGATCTACGTGACATGACCCGCACGGAAACAAATTGCGAGCGAAGGCGGCACAAATTGTAACCCCGAAACCAGCTGTAACTGGACGCATCGAACCACAAAAGCGTCATGACACATGCTCTTTAATCAATCGGAGCGGACCGTGCCCAGCTGCTTCTTGTCCTTATTGAAGAAACTGTCCGTGGAGAGGAGGAGTCCGAAGAGGAGCTTCGGGAGGGCCTTGTCTGCTTGCTTGGCGGCGCAGTCCTGCTCGTCGCCGCCCGGGTCGCCGCCGTCGGGCGGCCCGCCCGGCCCGCCCGGCGGGCCGCTGGGCGCCTGCGCTTGGAGGAAAGGCTGCGCGGCGTTTGCCGGAGCGGCTGGTGGAGCGGCCGGCGCCGCCGCGGGCGTCGCAGCCGTCGCCTGCGGCGCAGGAAGAGCGAGCCGGGGCTGCGCGGCTTCTGCAGGAGCTGGCGGTGAAGTGGCCTGCGCCGCAGCGAGCGCGAAAGCGGCCCTCTTCGCAGCTACCACTGGGTCGTTGTTGCGGCGCTCCTTCTTCCGGTCCTTCTTGTTGCCGCCATGGCGGCCCTGCGGGTGCGAGGAAGTTGACATTGGAACAGCTGTTGTCGGCGTTCCTGCCTTGCGCTCAGCGCCTGGGAGCTTTCGACGGCTGCATATAAGCTCCCAGTGCGCCCGCCGCACCCGCTCCCCTGCCCCTAATATCAATGTTGCTGGCTGGGCAGCTCGTCAAGTCGCCAAGCAGAGGGTAACACCGGTGTGTGCGAAATGAACGACCGTGGCACGCGGAGCGCGCCAGACGATTCACAGTTGCCTCCACATCACAACCAGATCATCGCACAGCAATCGCACGCAAGACATCGTTTGATTCACAGTTGCCTCCACATCACAACCAGATCATCGCACAGCAATCGCACGCACGACATCGTTCGATTCACAGGCCAACATCATCGCATCACAGCCTCTGCACGCACATCTTGGCAAGGAAGATGGTTTGAAGTCTCCTCCTCCTCCTCCTCCTCCTCCTCCTCCTCCTCCTCCTCCTCCTCCTCCGCCTCCTCCTCCTCCTCCCCGCCTCCTCCTCCTCCTCCTCCTCCTCCTCCTCCTCCTCCTCCTCCTCCTCCTATTCCTCCTCCTCCTCTCCTCCTCATCCTCCTCCTCCTCCTCCTCCTTCCTCCTCATCCTCCTCCTCCTCCGCCTCCTCCTCCTCCTCCTCCTCCTCCTCCTCCTCCTCCTCCTCCCCTCCTCCTCCT